TCTTTTTCAAAAAACCATTGAGCATTCTTATTTTAAATATTCCTGAGTGCATTGCTTTGGGGCACTAGTTCTGCGTCCTGTACTTTCCGATGGCTCTCACTCATAGTGCCGTATTTCCTTGTTTGTTTTTATGAGTTTCGACTACGAGCCTGCATTTTGTAGGGCTGCGTCTGTGAATGCATTGAGACCTGGGTTGCAGGTGGGCTCCTTCTGAGAGACTTCCCCAGGCTGAAGTTTTAGGGACCTCCCAGGGTGGTGTGAATTAGGGCTGAAACCTATTTTGGCAATTCCTGGGTGAAGCTTCAGTTCCAGTTTAGCCTAACACTGAGCATGTGGCCCTGTGGGGGTCTCATCTTTCTGCAGAAGCTCCTTCGAGGTTACCAACCTTGGGAGGGGCCTCCATTTTGTCTTCCGTGGGCCCAGGGGCCTTGAGAGCAGGAACTCGAAGTCACCGGTACAGCAAATGTCCCCAGGGCAGGAGCCAGCCTCAGGCCCCACAGACCTTCCTAGGTTTGACTTTTTCCCTTCATGTTTATCCTCTGAAGCTTCCAGACTTTTTGAAAATCAGTTTAGTGATGTATTGAAGATTTTGTGTTTTTTTTAACTTTATCAGCATTTTCATTTGTTTTGGGAAGGGAGAGAGGGCCAGTCAGGACATGCATCCTGCCGGGAAGCGGTGCCTCCCCAGTCTGGGCGGCCGTGGGACACTCGGGCCTTGGGGGTCTGCTGGAGGTGGTTCGTGTGGGGCTGGGCTTCCAGGTGGAAAGTCTGAGGCACTTCCAGAATCCGTGCTGCCTGTTCCTGCTCTCTCGCACATGCACAGTCAACGAGGCAGGAGCCAGTGAGCTGGAGCAGTGCGCAGTGTCGCTGGGGGGTGCCCCCCCCACTTGGCTCACTTCTGCTGCTCTTTCTCAATTTCCAGGCTTCTTCATGGAACCAGGGTCCTGTTGCAATAAAAGGAAAGGGGGTGTGACTCAGTACAGGGCAGCCTGTGGATCAGGCTGCGGCACACAGAGGTACGAAGCCCCAGTAGCTCTAGAATGTCAGGTCAGGAGCTGTGGTCTCTGGGCACCTGCCTCTTGAATCGCATGGTTCCATCTGCTGATGCAGCCCCCATGGGTTGTGGCCGGTTTCCACCAGCGCCTGGTTGTTTGGGTACACACTCCTGCCTCTGCCACGAGGGGTGTCCTTGGCAGGCCAGTAGGCCTGCCCAAGGCTGTGACCTTAGTGGGAGAGTGAGTGCACCTGCCCACTGCTCCCCACACCTGGGGGAAGGCTGAGTCCCCTCTCAGGGGATAGCCCTGAGACCTGCCAGGCTGCTGCTGCTGAGGAGACACTGGGGAACGCTGTCATCGTCCATGTGTGGGCTGAGGGCCTTCAGGGCTTTCGGGGGCATTTGTAGCATCAGTTGGAAAGCCTGTCAGAGTCGTGCAAATTGTGTCAGATTATCTTGCTTTTTAATTTTTAAAAGAATGTGTCTCTCTTTGACATCTTGAAGAGCGGGCAGAATACGGAGTTGTGCTCAGTGGATTAAGTTTCATGTTCCTTCGCCCTCCGGGAGGAAGAGACAAGTGATAGAACAGGGAAAGGAGGGGGCGTTGGCCGTATCGCACCGGCCTTGCGCAAGGGGCTGTGGCCTCCGCTCCGGGCGGCTGGTGCCAGGGGAGATAGGATAATGCGATTACTCTCAATTAGATAAATAAAGAATAATTAGATGTCATAAATCAAGCAATCATTGGATATTGTCATGGGAAAAATATGTAGCTAGAATTAATTAGTTTTCAAATAAAGCATTTATTTTAATTGCTTGGAATGATGGAGCCCTTAATTGCCGATGCATCATTTTGGCCGGAGCATTTTGGTTGTTGTAACAACGTGACGGGTTTATTCCCTGCACTTCTGAGGAAACAATGGAGGAGAACTTGATTTCATCACCGCAGAGTGAGCCTTGTGCTGGTGAGGTTCTGGAAATTCCTCTCGGGCCCCAAGCAGGGGGCAAGTGCAGGCTGGGCTTTAGCTGGCACCGCATGTGTGTATGTGTGTGCATGCCTGTGCTCATGTCTGTGTGTGCCCACAAGTGTGCGTGTGCACGTGTGTATATGGGGTACGCACAAAAACCCAAATTATCTTCTGGAGGGCAGGACCCTTGTAGTATAGGCTTCCTGTGCTAGGTGAGTGTTCTAGGAGCCCATCGGTGTCAGTGCACCAACTGGCGTTGTTGGGAGAGGCTGAGTTCAGCTTCAGTAAAAAATTTTTAAAGACTCTTTCAACACATTTGGCTGTGGGTGATTTGTGAGCGCACCTGCCCACACCACACTGAGTGTTCAGCAGCTTTTGACCCAAATGGCATGACCCCCATGCCCCACATTCCCTATTCACTTGATCTCACTCCAAGCAACTTTTTGTTTGTTTGTTTCTCTGAATGAAAAAACTCTTCAAAGGGAAGTGTTTTGCTGAAGTGGAAGAGGTGAAACAAAAAACAGCAGAAGCACTAAAAGGCGTTAAAGTTAACAAGTTCAAAAACTGTTTTGAGCAGTAGAAAAAGTCTCCATAGGTGTATTGCATGAGATGGAGAGCACTTCGAAGGTGACTGAAGTTTAAACATGAGAATAAATACACAATTTTTTATAAATAAATTCCAGGGTGTTTGGGGTGCCCCCTTGTATGTATGTGCGTGTGCGTGAGTGGGAACATGGGTGTGTGCGTGTCAGGACTGCGCCGTGGGAGCCCTGCAAAGGTGGCCCGTTGGATTCTGTGACTTGGACTAAGTGGAGGGGTGATCCCCCATCCTGAACTGGGGCTTTCGCCTGGGCTGAGGTGCTTTAGCAGGGCCGGCATTCTTGGGTTTTTCTGAGTCTGGGGCCCAGTACCCCTGTGCCTGTCACCAACCAGCTGCCCTCAAGGGTCTGGCACAGCGCAGGCAGGCAGAGAGTCTGCGGGCCCAACTGCTGCTCCTCTACATGTGCCCGTCACGCCAGCGGGGCCGGGGTGGCCACTCCAGGGTGGCTTATTTGTCCCATACCAGAGCAGAGACCATGGTCATGAAGCAGTGTGGGGTTGGGTCCCTCTGCTCCCCACTGGAGGCCATGCTTGTGTTTGGGAAGAGCCTGTTGGCCTTTACCCAAATGTGGGAAAGGTTGAGAGAGAGAGGAAGAGAGAAGCAGAGACTTGGCTATTTGTGAAGTATGTTCCTAGGGACCCCTTCCTTCTCTTTAAAACCCTGTGACAGAGGCACAATCTAGTGGTAGAGTGGCCAGTAAGGGGGACTGTCCACCTTGGAGTCAGAGGCTGGGCCCACCCCTTCCTGGCCTTGACCCTGGAGTTGGGGTATCGTCCTCAGTCATTAGGATCTAGGACCCAGCTCTGCTTCCGCTTGCTTCATGGTGGCCAGACCTCAGTTGGGCGCTGGCAGTGGCCTCCTGTGGGTGTCTGTGGCCGGGTCCTCCCCGCCCCCTTGCACAGGCCCTGGTGGCCTCCAGGCTCTGGTTGCTGCTCTCTCCCTGCTCTCAGGTGACCTAGAGCCCTGTGGGGTCCCCAGCTGCTTCAACAGTGGTATTTCTTAGGTGTTTTAAACCTTTTTCTTTAGTCAAACTGCTCCTGGCTCTCTTCCAAAGACAGACTAGAAGGAAAGGGCCTGGCGCTTTGAGGAGGGGAGGTGCAGGGCTTGCTGGTTGAGGGTGCAGGTGACATGGGTCCTGGACTAGCGCCCACACCCCTGCTGCCCCTGCTGCCCATGCAGCCTCGGCCTGTCACCCCTTCTGCACAGGCCTCCGCCCTGGGCCTGGAACCCTCTCGACCCCTGGCATCAGCCGCCTGGCCAAGGCTCCCTGCTGGAGGAACCCTTCCCGTCTCACCCGCCCTGGTCCTTCTGGCGGCTGTGGCTGCCATCGTGGTTGGGTGCACCTCCCTGCTCTGTGGCTGGAGGCAGTGGGTTGGGAGCTGTCCCAGCGTCCAGCATCCTCAGCCCAGCCCAGACCTGCCAGCAGACAAATGTGCCCCCCGACTGTCGGAGCAGGCCACTTCTGGTTCTGCCCCTCCCAGCACACACACACACAACTGCTGAGGAACAGCCACCCCTGCACTGTTGAGTCCCTTGCTGCCTGTGAGATTGAGGTGGCATGAAAGGACACAGGCCTCTGGGGACGCTGCAGGATTGTGTGGTTAGTGTAGGCTTAGTGGGGTACCAGGCGTGGTCTCCTTTGGGGTGGATGAGCCCCAACAGGCCTTAAACACAGGACCGGCGATATGAGAAAGGGTCTCTCATCTGCGATAGCAGCCCTCCTGGGTAGCAGCAGGGCGACTCAGTCCCCCGCCCGTGCACTGCTGCATGAGCCCCTCTGCCCCTCTGCCCTTCTGGCAGCAGCTGGCTCTGGAGGATGCCAGACCTGAGCCTCAGGAGCCTAGGGCAGCTCACTGGACTGTCCTGTCCCCAACAGTAGAGGGTGCTGTTGAAGGGTACCCTTCTTGAAGGGTTGCAGTGACAATTAGCCATTGTAGGTGTTCAGGCCCAAGGCACAGCGGGCAGCATTTGTAGCGCCTGTGAGGAAGAGGTTCCGCTCCATCTCCTGGTCCTGCTCACCCCTCTGGCAGCCTGGGACCTCCTGCACTCTGAATTCACTGGGAGGGTTAGATGGGGCATGGTCCCTGAGGGAGGAGAAGCTGGAGTGAGACCTGAACCAAAGGTAGGACTCAGCCAGGCCCAGAGTCAGGACTACCTCTGTCCAGCCTGGACAAGGCGGGCCGCTCCAGTGGCCAGGGGGAGACAGGGAGCCAGAAGGTGCAGCCTCTGGCCGGACTGGAATTCCTAGAGGCCAGTGGAGGGCTCTGTGCGGGCAGGTGTGATGCCGGGATGACACGCGTTGGAACGAGGGTGCGCCCGCTGGGTGCGGAGGCTGACAGGCAGGTGGAAGGGGGTAGGCAGTGTCCAGGGAGGCCTCCTGATGCCTTTCTGAAGGCAGACAGGTGGGTCAGTCACTCGCATACCCTCTCTTGGTCCACAGGTGACTGCACCCCCACCGAGCATGGCGGCCCGGCCGTCCCTGCCACCAGACCCAGAGTTTGTCCTCCGAGGAACCCAGTCAGCAGTGCACGCGCTGCATTTCCTCGAAGGTGCCCAGGGACAGGGGCACCCGCTCCTCCTCTCAGGGTGAGTAGGTGCTGGGGACCCACCCCCGGGACTAGCCCAGGGTGAATTTTGGATTGCTAGCAATGAGTTCGGTGCTCGTTTGGGGGTTCTGCTGAGGGGCTCAGGCTGCCTGTTGCCCAGACAGACTTTTACAGCCCTCCCGATGTGCTGTCCCCTGGGGCCTCGCCCCCTTCGAGACGCAGGGACACACACCCGTGCTGTTATAGGTGCCACCTGAGGTGCACTGTCAGTGGCAACCCTCCCTCGCTCGGCTGAGAGGCAGGCCCTGCCTGAGGGGGCCTCAGAGGCTCTTGTGGGCCCTTTGGTGGAGGAGCACGTGCCACTTTTACTTAAGTTGGTATTTGGAACTCTCGCCTGAGCTAAAATCTCAAGCAGCTAGAATACCTGGTCCATCAGCGGTGTGGCCTCCAGACCAGCCCTGTGGAGTGTGCTGGGCATGTTCACCCTCCGCTGACGCTTCCTCCTGACCCTGCGCCTGTACTTGCCTGAACAGGTCCCTGAATGGTCTGGTGCACATCTGGAGCCTGCAGACACGGAGGGCACTCGCCACCCTGAATGGGCACGGGGGTCAGTGTGTGATCTGGCTGCAGACACTGCCCCAGGGGCCCCAGCTCCTCAGGTAGGTCTCAGTGGCAGTCCCAAAGGAGCCAGGTGTGGCCCTCATGGGGGCCAGGTGGAGGCCCTCATGGCCTCCCCCAGCCACTTGGGCTGCCTTTCCTCCAACAGCAGAACAGGGTGTGCTGAGTGCTGTCCCGGCTGGTGCCCGCTACAGAGGTCCTGATAAACATGTAGGACAGCTCTGTGGCCCGAGCAGAGCCTGCCTGGCCTGCTTCAGCTCCCCAGTGGTGGGAGCCGGGGTCCCAAAGCTGAACTTGAGCTTCTTGTTGGAGGAGCCTCAGCTTCCCTCCTACAGGCCCTGGGCTCTGGTGTCATGGCACCACTCTGCCAGGTGACCTTCTTCCTCACCATGAATCCATCTTCCTTCAAGGTGGTGAAGACTGGGCACCAGGGCGGCACACAGAGCCTGAGCCTAAAGTTCGCCGGGCTGGTCAGGGAGACGCTCCACACACCTCCAGTGTGTGGATGGTCTCCAGTGGCACTGGGACCATCACATAACTGCCCATGTCTATGGCCCTCAGGGCTGGACAGCCAGGGGTCAGCAGGAAATGGCAGGAGCAAGGGCATTTGCCTAGGCTGTGGTGGGCCCAGCCTATGAGTATCACAAGGTGCTGTGAGGTGCTGTTTCTGCACTGCTGCTTTGGCCTTGTGGAGGTGACAGGCCGGGGACTCCAGACAGGAATGGGCTAGGAGGTGACAGGAAGGGGCAGGTGGGGGAGAGAGCAAGTTGGGAGGGGCTTCCCTGCTTCCCATGGTGAGAGAGAGGACAGGACAGGGCTCAGACCAGGAGTGTGCAGAGAGTCCGATGCCTACCTAGCTGCCAGAGCAGATCCTCATTTTGGGTCATGCAGACATCTACCCCCATTCGGGGATGACTGCCTCAGCCCAGGGATCCACAGAATCACAGTGCTGTTCTCCTGAACGCTCTGTGCCCCTCACTTCAGGACTGGCCTGCTCTCCTGTGCTGGACTTGGAGCCTGGGCATCTGCCTGTGCACCATGGAGCCAGTGCCTAGAGCACGAGGCCTGCTGGGACTCCACTGGTCTGCAAAGCACTTCTATGCCAGACTTATGTTGCTCCTGTCAACCTGAAGGTGACTCAGAGGTGACCGAGAGACCAGAGGTGTTCTGGAAGGCTGTGGCCCTAGACACGTGTGTGTGTGTGGAGCCTTCACATGGCCTTGTCTCCCAGGCCAGGCAGCCCAGATGCCCCCCGCCCACATGTGGTGCATGGGGCCCTCACAGTGTCGGTCTTTCCCTGATAATACAACAGCTGTAATGTCTGAATGCCCCACTGAGCTTCTTATACCAGGAGCTGCCATTTATAAATGTTCCTGCAGAATTTTCAGCTCAGGTATACGCCCTTCTGGGCCTCCTGTTCTTCCAGGGCCCAGGCATCTTGGGCTGTCAGCTGGGAGCCCCTGGCCGTGAGTGCTCGGTGCCTGCCGCCCTACTCTGAGACTTCACTCCACCTAAATCTGGTCCAGTGCAGTGCAGGCTGGCAAGCTCCTGGTGAGTGGACATTGGATGGCATTCTTCCTTCCAGTTGGGATGGCATTTTGGTGGCCCCACTCCAGGCAGGGGACCTGTGGGTGGGGAGGTCTCCAGTGCAGACCGTGCAGGTGCTTGGAATGCGCAGGTGCATTTACGTTGCACTAGAGCCCATGTGCCCAGCTGTGTTTGGAAGCCAAGTCTCCGAAGTGGCTCTTGAAGGAGGAAGGTGAGCTTTCATGTCAAGGAGAGGCTGGAGGACAGAAAGGGAGGAGCGAGGGCCCCGGCCTTCGCCAGGCTGTACAGAGGGCTTCAGAAAGCCCAAGGGCAGCTCCACAGACACCCCTAGCCCCATCCACAGACTCCAGGACACACCTGTGCTTACGACAGCCACCTGGGTGGGTATGTCTCCTGCCTATTTTATTGTGAGATGTAAGGTACTCACAGAAAAGTGCACAGAACAAGTTTGCAGACTGCTGTATTGTCACAGAGTGGACACCTGTGTCACCATCCCCAGCAGGAAGCAGAGCTCCACCAGCCTGCTGTCTGCCCTGCCCCCTGGAGCAGCCTCTTGTGCCTTGCTTGTCTATGCTGTTTGAATGTTCAGCTCCAAAAGGCAGAGAATCATTTTGTCTGCATGGTTTTTTTCTTAACTCAAAAAAAGCAGAGCCATACAGAACAGCTTCCAGTGCATCTGACTTTCTCACTCAGCTGTGTTTGAGACCCACCGAGGGGCAGCGCCGTAAGCAGGCTTTTCCTGTGCATGTTCTACGGATGTGTGTACCCGGATGGCCCGTATTCTATGGTCGGTGGAGGTCTGAGTTGTCCACTTGGGCCCGCTGTGGGTAAGGGGGGAGAGGGCTCTCGGGAAGGCCTCCTGGTGCCAGGCACACACATGTCTGCGAGGTGGACCCCGTATCCACGGGTGGGACGTCCTGTATGTGCACGCTGGGCCATTCAGGAACTCCAGGCTGCACTCATGCAAGTGCAGTAAGCACCCCCACCCCCACTGCCACCTGGGCCAAGGAGCTTCTGGGTGCGGCTCTCCCCAAGTAAGGATCATCTGGGGTGATGGGCATCAGGCCAAGAGAGAATGTGTACAGCGTTAGCAATTAGGGGACGAGTGACGGAGGTGTGGGAGGTTGCCCTACCGTCCCCACAACTGTTCTGTGGATTCAAAACATTCCAAATAAAAAGCGACTTAAAAATAGGCCAGCCCTTTGCTTACGGCATGACTGCCATCTTGACCGTGAGTCAGACGCCTCTGGTGTGAACGTGTCTCTCTGGCATTAGGCTCTGGTCTGTCCTGTGTTGAGGACACTGCCACACCTGTCTCCCCCACAGTCCAGCAGAGCACAGTGGCAGCCCAGTCCTTCCATGTCAGTCTTAGTCCTCCAAATGTTCAGGCATTTCAGCACCAGCAGGGGGCTGTCCAAATGGAGTCGAGCTCTGGACAGGGACCGGGCGGCTGTGGGCCGCCTGGGGGAGCAGTGCTCTGCTCAGCAGCAAGTCCTGGCGGCCAGAACATCTCCTGTGACTGGGCAGGTCTGTCACAGCACTGGTGGCAGCACGGCAATGAGACGCTGGGCCTTGTGCAGGCTCTCTGGTCCCCCACAATATCCTTTTCTCCTCCGGGACCCACCAAGTGCTCATGGCTCCCTAGTCCCCTGCGGTCTCGGCTTGCTTCTCTTCCCCTTGTCTTTCCTGACCTCGCCCCTTGGGGAGAGCGACTGGTCAGCAGTTTCGTAGGGTGCCCCTCATGTTGGGTTTGCCTCGTGGTTTCTCAGGACTAGGTGGGCCAATGCCCTTTCAGGGGGGAACCTGCAGAGGCCAAGGAGTCTCATCCCACCGTCTTGGGGTCTGTGATGTCTGCAGGAGTCATCTCTGGTGAGGGTCACCTTGGTCGCCTGGTCAGGGTGTGTCTGCAGACATCCTACCTTCAGGGACATTCCCTCTGCTTACTGGCCTCCTTGGAGATGAGTCCCTATGTCCAGCAAGGACCTTCCTCAAGGGACAGGGAGGTGAGGATTAAGGCAGGTCAAAGACCATGCAGTTGTGTCCAGGCCTCCACAGCGGGTGGCGAGCATCTGAGAAACACTCTGAGGCCCTGCACCTGCCCTGTTTCTCCTCGGGTTTCGGCCACTGATCCTCGCTGGCATCCATCAGTCAGTCCTGCCCCACAGTCACCACTGGGGCATTCTCACGGGGGCTTGATGTGTCCCGCACTCCTACTTTTGGTAGCATTTTACCTTAATTAGGGTTCTGTAAGGTAGGTTTGTGTCCTCTTCACGTACTTATGCATTGCCTCATGAGTCTGGGCTCAGGGAGAGTTAGTGTATCCTTTAGTTATGATTCCACACTGTGGTCATTTCTTTATTGCTCAGATGGTTCCAGCTTTGGCGCCTGGGTCCTTTGGGTATGCCCCCATCCTTCATTTTATTTTAAAAGTATTTCTTATTTTCTGGCCACAAGATGCTCAGAAGTCCTCTTGGCCTCCCCCCCTCACCCCCTCCCCAACACTCCAGCCATTTCTGCTGAAACCTGGCTCCTCTTTTTAAAGAAAGGGGAAGAGAGCAGAGCAGGGTGCAAGGCACACTCATCCCTGCTGGAGTGTCGTTGCTCCCAGTCCTCTCAGGCACAGCCCATGTGCTCCTTTGTGTCTGTCCAGCTGAATATGATTTGGGGTAAATGTGCATTTATACCAGCATCTGTGATTTGAATCCAGAACTATGGGTCCATCTCACCTCCCCTAGGCCTCTTGGTGACTGCTTTTCTGTGACAGGAGAGACCCGGGCCCCGCTCCCCACCTTACGTACTTCTCTGTCCAACCCTACTGTGTACAGAAAGAGGTTTCAGAATTGCCAGCCACAGCCCTGTGGGAAACAGGCGGACAAGCTGGAGTCCTGTGTTTCTGTCCAGTTGTTTTGTCTTTAACCTTGCAATAAGTACCAAACCGACACACTTGTCCCAAGTACCTCAGGTCAGACTCTGTCCACCCTCCCACTGCATTCAGTGCGCCCCACATTTGTCACGGCCTGCAGTTCACCCCGGGACCCTGGCGTCCTGGTTGTTGTTTTTGACATGTACACAGTGAAGCTTGCTCTTCATGGCATAGATCTGTGGGCTTCATGGTGCCAACAGTCATGTCTGGGCCACCCAGGGCCACACAGAGCAGGCCTCACCCTGCAGAGACCTGTGCCACACCTCAGTGGGCAGTGCCCTGTCATCCTGCATCCCGACCTCTTCTACAAGGTCATACCACTGGAATCATGCAGCCTGTGGCCTTTTGCCTCTGGCTCCCTTCACTTGGCAAGATGCACACGGGATTCAGGCAGGTTGTTGCACGTGGCCCTGCTGAGTGGACTCACTTGGTGCGGACCCACCGCAGTTCCTCATCCAGTCTCCTGCTAAAGAGCCGTTTCCAGCCTGGGCCATTGTGCACAGGACTGCTGTGAGCCTTGTTCGAGTACAGGCTTCAGTGCGAATGCAGTTTTTAAGCTCACTTGGGAGAATACCCGAGAGTGGGGTTGCCAAGTGGTCAAAGTTAATGCACAAAGGGGGGGAAGCGTGGAGGGCACTCTCTTTGGCCGCATGGGGAGTGGCAGGAAAACCGCAGCAGGCCTCCATCTGCGGTGCTTCCCTGGGATGCGCACAAGTGTGCTGGGCATTGGCGTCACAGACACAGGCACACATGTGGACGCCAGGGCTGAGAAGCCCATTCTCAGCTGAGGTGCCCCAGCCCCACGTGACCTGGCATGAACATCAGCCTCTCTGGAAAGTGTCCCCTGCCTTTCTGTGACCTCAGGTTGGTGACAGCATATGGATGTTTGCACAGGTGGGATGTGTGGTCTGCTCAGCAGGGAGGCTCACGGCCCATCTCTCTGCTTGGTTTTGCAGTCAGGGCCGGGACCTGAGGCTGCACCTGTGGGACCTGGCGGAGGGCAGGAACACCATCGTGGACTCTGTGGGCCTGGAGAGCGTGGGCTTCTGCAAGGGTTCCCTCCTGGCCAGAGGCCCACAGCGCTGGACTCTGGCAGTGCCTGGGAGAGGCAGTGATGAGGTGAGCACCAGCCCCTCTTGCAAGTCCCTGGAGTCTCCCCTACGTGGGCACACCCATTGTCAGCACCTGGTTGCGGGAACACTGGGCTGGCCCCGGGCCCCCAGGGAGCTGTGGGGCAGGTCTGGGTCTGTCTGCTGGATCGCAGCTCCAAGGACCTGGGGATGGGCATTCACCTGGTCACCTGTGAGATGGCCCTGGTGGTGAGAGGGGTGACTGGTGTCTGTAGCAGAATCAGGCATCCAGCCCAGTGCAGGTGGACAAGTGTCAAGGCCAAGGCTATCAGGGGTACTGGGGGAGAGTCTCAGGAGCATGCATGTGTGCCAGCAGGTCCCTAGCAGGCCAGCAGGAGGTGGTGGAAGACAGACCAAGGCCCTGGCAAAGCTGAAGTGAGCCTGGGAGCCAGGACAGGAGGGGAGTGCAGTCCTTTGGGGAGCAGAACAGGGCCCTGGTGTGAGAGGCCATGGGCAGGACTAGGACCTGGGGTGGGGGGGGGGTAAGGGCTGGCACCTGGGTGGCAACCGCAGTACAGAGGGGCAGAGGTGAGCAGGGTAGCATCAGAGGATGGGGCTAGAGGGTGAAGTGGGTGTGACAGAGACTTGGAGGTCGGGAATCCTGGTGGAGGAGGAGGTGTGGCTGGAGGCACCAGCTCCTGGAAGAGCTGAAGAAACTCTTGTGAGAAGTGTTGGGATGGCCTGGGATCCCGCTGCAGGTGGAGGTGGGATGGTGGACAGGAAATGGGAGCCTTCTGTCTACCACCCACTCCTGTCTTCTCCTGGTGTCCCCCGCTGGCCTGGACAGCCTGCTCGGCAGGCAGCCCTGGGCAGGCACCTGAGGCCTGTACACAACGGGTGGTTTGGCCCCCGCCCAGGAAGGGCCGTTTGTCTTAAAGCACACTCAGCTCATAAATAATGAGATAGGAACAGGCATTTATTTGTTCATGATTGCATTTAAATCACCAATTAGGAGCTACATACACTTCTCTTGCCAATTTGCCAAAACTCTGTTAAAAGCTTTATTACTGTGAAAAGAGAGGTGTGCTCCCCCCAGGAGGGCAGGGGCCGGGCAGCCCAGCCTCCCTCCTTCGCTGCACACGCCGAGACCAGCCTGCAGACCCAGCCAGCTCCCCCACTGAGGCCGGGCACTGGGTGCTGTCTTCCTCCTCAGCCTCCCCAGGACTCCTGGCCTGTGTCGTCCCTCCTGCTGCCCTCACCTCCAGCCCCACCCTCCTCTCCCAGGCCTAGTCCTGAAGACCCCTCATCCCTTCTACTTGTGGCTGATTTTAACCAACCTCCTGGCCCCCAGCTCTGGCAGCATCCTCATTTTTCAGGAGCTGCCAGTCCAGAGACCTCGTACATCCTGGGAAAATGGTCATTTTCCATGCTCCCACCTAGAATCTGCCCAGATGAGGCCCTGCAAAAGCATCTCTGGCCTGTGCCCAGACAGTGCCAGGGCAGGACGTGCCTCCACCCCACTTGGTCGTCTGGGGGGCCACGCTTGCTCAAACCAAACATTTCCCCTCTGGTAACAGAAGTCGGAGTTGAGCACCAGATGGAAAGCTCACCAGTGACTGCCGAGGCTCCACGCACAGGCCACTGGGCCTGCCCTGCTCCTTGGACTGAGGCTCCTTGGTCCCCCTGCCCCTCCCTCCCTCCCACAGCCCTACCTCAGGCCTCAGGGCTGTCCTCATCCCCCCTCGGCCCCTCTCCTGCCAACCTGAGCAGATTTGCTGCACAGCTCACCCTCATCCCATTCCCTTCTTCTCGGGCCCCTTCTCACTGCCACCAGAGGGGTCTTCCTGAGCCCAGAGGTCAGGACAAGCCATCCCTCACTGACCCGGGGACCTGCGTGCCAGGCTACCCAAGGGGCAGACCTGTACAGTCTTTCCAGCAATATCCCTCTCCTGTGGCTTCCTCTTCCCGCTCCAGCCACTCAGCATCTTGGAACCAGCCGAGTGTCCTGCCTCCACAGTGTGGTCTGTGTCTTTCCAGACAACCCCTCGCAGCAGGCAGCTCACACAGATTCTGTGAAGCAGCCGGGGGTGCCCGGCACTCGGCTGCAGCCTGCCGTGTTGCCCTTGTACAGGCTTGGGGTGCGCAAGGCGTGGGCACTGAGGAGAGCATCTCTCTTGGGTGAGCCACCCTGGCCGGGCGCAGGCCTGCCTCTGTGGTCGGCTGCGGTTCTCAGGGGATGAGCCCGTCCCGAGCTGGTTCACTCACCACAGAGACAGAAGGCCTCCGAGGGCTTTCTCCTTCCTCTGCACTTTTCTTTTTACTTCTGGGTCACACCTGTTGCCACTGTGTCTTGGTTGTCAACATTGTCTTTATCTTTCTTTTCATTTTGCTAGAGCTTCTTGGGCATCTTTGTTATTTCAGGGGCCCTTTTTCTGGCAGTGTTTTATTTCATGACAGTAGCGATGGCCCATGTCACTTCTGTTTTTTTTTTGTCTCCTTTGTGGACAGGGAGGGTCAACTCACCCGGGGTATATGCTGTCCCTATGGTGATGGGGAGCCTGTGCTTTGTGTGTGTGCATGTGTGAGTGATTTGTATTTGCATGCATGTGTATGTATGCGTGCATGTGTGTGCACCAGCAGGGGCCCCAGGACTCACCCTTCCTAGCAGTGCTGGTGCTAGGTCGCTTTGCAAGCCGCCTGTGAGAGCCCTGCCCAGAGTGCACCCGCAGCCCCGGCCTGTGGGCGTGCCACCCAAGCATGGAGGCAGGCACGGGCCCTGTTGCAGGGCCTCGAAGCTGACAGGACCAGACTATGACACCGGTGTTTCATCCTGCCACAGCTGCCATAGACATGGTTCCCAGCACATGTGTGGCAGAATTGGGACTCAGACTTAGGCCTTTACCCTGGGACTCAGGCCCGTTCTTCTCTGTGCGTCAGGGAGAGCGGCTCGGCCACACTTGCACAACTCAAGCTTGCCTCTAGTTCTCTGTGCTGGGGGTTCTGTGTTCTGGGAATCAGGCAATAGGCCAGCTGTCTCCTCAATGTCCTTGACTCCTCTGGAACCCAGACTTCTCGTCTGCAAATCAGAGGATGCCTCTATATCAGTGAGGGGTGGCGTGTAATTTCCACAGTGACTGCTAGTTGCTGCTATGCCAGTGGAACTGCGTGCAGCACGAAAAGCCAAGGGCCAGCTGAACCCTCTCCCAAGCCCCCCACAAAGAGCAGCGGGCCTGGGTCTCATCAGAGCCCCTCTCCTCTTCCAGGCCCTGCAGGAGTGGCACCCTGGTCCCTCCTGGGCAGATAAGGGAGCTCAGGCATGAGGGATGCAGATGGCTGGGAGCCCAGTTCTAGTCTGTGGGACTTCAGCTTCTGAGCCTGTTCCCTGTGGCCTTGGCTGTCCCCTGCTGATGCTGGGGGCAGAGCCTGTCCCAAGTCAGTGGACAGGCCCAAATGTGAGCTGGCTGTGCAGGGCAGTGAGGCACACCCGCCAGCCCAGTTCAGGTGACACTAAATACAGCCGCGATACCCAGGATGGAAAAAACGGTACTGGGTACCACCCGGCTCCAAACAGAGCTTCCCATGGTGCATACCATGGTTATTTCCTAGGCTGGGTGGTGGCTTCCCAAGTGGTCCCTGTACAAGTCTTTGTACCATTGGCTGTGCCTGAGAGTGCAGAGTCATTCCCATAGAAAACCCACAGCAGGAACGGGAACAAGCAGAGGTCAGGAGAGTGGGCGAGCTGTGGTGTGGCAGTGCTCAGTGAGCCGGGCCTCCTGCTCAGCAAGGAGGTAAAATTGAGAGAGGCTGGAGGCAGCCGCTGGGCGGGAATGCTACTCGGAGGGATGTGCCGGTCACTCGGGAATGACGCCATGCGTGTGGTTTCGCAAGGCTGGTAGCACTGGAGCCCATGAGCCTGTGCGGCCTAATTAGGAGGCTGGGCTCCCAAGTTCCTACCAGGAGCAGACAGAAACTCGCAGCAGTCTTGGCTAATCGCCTTAAAATTCTCTTGTTTGTATAGAACAGACTCAACTTGGCGCCGGCCCAAATCAACTTGTTTTCTTACTGTCAGATTCAGATTCTGGAGATGCCATCCAAGACGTCAGTGTGCACCCTGAAGCCAGAGGCAGATGCCAAGCCAGGCATGCCCATGTGCCTGGAGCTGTGGCAGGTAAGGCCCGGTGCACGTCAACCACGCCCTGTCGGCCACACCCGCCAGGCCCTGAATCATGCCCCACTCTGGGTTTGGTTTGTCCTGGAACCAGCAGGACAATTAGCCCCTTGGGAGAATGTGTGCTTGCTGATTCCAGAGCAGCCTGTCGCCGGCCGCCCCTGCTACCTCACGCTGCTTGGAAGGATGCTCCTGCAAAGTGCCCCAGGGCAAACGTCGCTTGTGCTGGCCTCCACCGGCTGGACTGGGGGTGGGGGGGGGCACCCCTGCCAGTGCAGGGAAGAGAGACAGATGGGTCAGCTGAGACGGCCCCTCCCGGGAAGGGGCTCTGCTCCTTTCCGCACACGGGTCTGTGGCCCTGCACAGGGCTGGGAGGGAAGTACCGACTAACCCTGCAAGCCTGCACAGCCGGCTGTGCTTGGCATTCTCCTTTTTGTGACTTTTTTGCCTCAGAGAGGCAGGAGTGGGCTTAATATGCTGACTGTCCCCACAGCCACACTTGGAATTTCTGATCCACTGCTGTTTTCTTCTTTCTCAACTGTTCTTTCTGATTAGCGAGGGTCAGGAGGCTTCCCCGGGGGCTGGTAGCAGAAGCTGGGAGGCCAGGGGACGAGGGGGACGGTCACAGTCCCCAGGCCCAGCAGGTTGGGTTTCTGCTTCTGAAGCCTGGGGAGGGATCCTCCCAGGCCTGTGTGCCTGCACCAGAGGCCCTGGCTCCCCTGGAGGCTGGACCCCAGCGCCCCAGAGCTCAACACTGGCTCAAAGCACGCATGCCCACTCTTTGGGTCGCTTGTGTTTGGCACGGCAGAGCAAATGGTCTGGCATGTTCACTTAGAAAGAGCCCCGGGCAGTGTCTTGGCCGTGGCAGACCCCAGGGTTAGCAGGTCACTGACCAGTGCCCATCTAGGGAGTGCTGCCCACGGCTGTTTTCTCAGCCCTGTCAAGTTGGCCAGCACCTTCTGAGGGCCGCCCTGTGCCGGTCCAGAATCGGGTGCAGGTGACCCCTGCCTTGAGCCTCTGTGCTCGTTTGCACTCTCCCCAGGAGTTAGAGCAGATGGGCTCCGGCAGTTTGAAGGTGTGTGCATGACCGGCAGGGTTCGTGGGGACAGGCACCCGGGAGACCCGGTCCCCAGCCTTCTGCCGTCTAAGGACCAGCGAGATCCCCCGCCTTTCTGGTAGTTGGTTTCCTCCTGCAGTTTCTTCCCCGATAGTTTCTTCCCTGAAGAAACTTCCCTGAAGAATAACTTTCCACTTGGCAGTGAGGGATCTCCATGCTGTTGCTGCCACGGTCCCTCAGAGGAGCCCCGGAGGTGAGGAGGCTTGGCTCAGAGGGTCACCTGGGTGACTAAGCTCCCGGCGCCAGCAGGTTTGCGGCCCAGCTTGATGGGAAATGTCCCCGAGGCCCTGACGCTGCTGCCCTGACGCTGCTGCTGCCGGCACGGTGCCTGTGGCCCTGGGCAGGACGTCGGGGGCTGCATCCGCTCCTTCTCCACTCCCTGGAAGCGGCGTCATTGCGTAATCATGTAAAAATTCCTGCAGAAAAATGTGTAGAAATGGGATGTACAAACTTGTTAAGGTAATTAATATAGTTGACAGAGGACAAATCACGTTTTTGTTGGTTGATACGGATCCAACACGAAAGAAAAATCTGTGTTAATCTTAAATGCCCCCTTTTTCCCTCCAAACCTGGAGGTCCAGGTTATGGTTTATGAGTCTGCACAGCAGAATGGCCTGAAGTGGTGCTTTTTTTTGAAACTTTCAGAGACATTCTCTTTTCTGCCCTCAGGGAGGCTGACCTGTGTTGTCTGTCGTGATGATTATCTCGCACAACGTCAGGACCAGAATCTAGCCTTGTTCACCCCCACTTCAGAGCTGGGGCCCTGTCTGAGCTGGGGGCTCCCCACAGCACCTCGAGATGCTGCAGGCAGGACCTGTCTGCTGGGTCCCTCCAGGCTGGCCCAACCACAAACGGGAGGGGTCACGGAGCAAATCCTCATAGTAACTTAAGGTCCTCACCCCATGGTGGTCAGTGTGGCACTATGGGTGTGGCCACCAAAGGTCCATGGCCACAGGAGCACTGTCATCCCTGCAGTCTGTCGTGGGGGTGAGGGGCTGCAGGGACCCCGCATGCTAGGAAAGAAACTGGAGAGGTGTGCAGCGCAGGTGGGGATTGCAGGCTGCGGCTCCACATCCGGGCCCCCGGCAGCTGTGGGGCGAGCCCCTGCAGGCCAGTCTGGCTCCTGCTCTGGCCGCCCTGTCATGCCTCAGTGGCGGGTCAGTAGTGAGTAGCCCCTGAGCTAGCTGAGGTGAGCTAGCTGAGGTGCTCAGAACCCAAAGGCCACGGTCGTCGTCGTGCGGGCTTGGGCTGTAGAGATGGACAGAAAAAAACATGTCGGCAGTGTCAGGAGGCCTGGGCAAGGGAGGAATGTGCCCAGGGACAAGCTGGGCCAAGGCAGTGTGGATGGGGACACGTCAGAGCGCTGTCCCAAAGGCAATGGACCCAAGTGGGCCCCGGATGAGTTCTTCGTAGCCGGCCTCTGGGGTGGGATCCGGCAGGCGTGGTCGGAGGCTTGGTGCGAATTCCTGGTTGGGGTTCAGACAGCACACCCGGGCTGTTTTCACCCAGCCCTCACCCTGCCTTGGGTCCAGATCGGTAGCTCACAGGGGAGGCCTGCTTTAGAGAGGCACAGCTGTCTGAGCAGCTGCCTGAGCAGAGGGCCTGACCATTGCTTAAAGCACTCTGTACTGCAGAAACAAGCGGCGTAAAAAATTTTATACCAAAAGAGTCAAAGTGAGGTTCTTCCCGGTTATAGCACTACAGGGCAAGGGCACCAGTACCATCAGGGACGCTGCAGGGAAGCCTGTACGCTCCGCTCCCCCCAGCCCATGCTGCTTGGTGGTGGAAGCCACCAGGTTCTGTGCACAGCTGGTGAGGGGTGCTGCACAGCCCCTCGTGGATCGTGGTCTTGGGCCAGTCTGGGCACTGCTCACACTGTGCAGCCCAAGCGGGAGTGTAGCAGTCGGCTTACAGGGCCTCAGGGAGGAGCACGGATGTCACAGACCCCCTCCCAGGACCCCCATTCACTTCCTTAGGCTCCTCCTGTATGTTTTTTGTTTGTGCAAACACATCACAGGAAAAAAAGACTGTACAGCATTTCCAGGGACGTGTAAGAAGTGTCCACTGGCCCAGCTCTGGTCTGGGAGGGTTCACTGTGGCCGCGTATAGTTCCCAGGGCTGTGTGCCTTGTCCCTGGCACAGCCGTCTCCTCCAGATCCAAGAGCCGGTCTGCCTCAGGTTCCCCTGGCTCCTATTGCTAACGGGGCCCCACACGTGTACTCCACCCACAGCCTCAGTTTCCCTCTGATGCTTGGGGAATGCTCTGCTTTCTGGGTTGAGAACGTGGTGTCCATTCATGTTACTCACACACCCTCGTGCCTCTGGTTAAACCAGGTTGCCTGTGTGGCCGGAGGAGGGTTCTTTCTGAGCGCTCAGGAACGTGTGGGGGGGCTCTACACAGTACGTGCAGCGTCTGGGCCCAGAGCCCCTCCGGGTGGGCACGTGAACAGCAGCTCCAGCAGGTGGGCGAGCAGGGCCTGCGAGATGCCCTGTGTCCGCCCACACCGAGGGAGACCCAGATGCTCTGCTCAATGCCATCCTTGCCCGCCAGCAGTGGACCGTCCTCGAAGTGCATGTGACCCAGGGGCAGTCTCACTGACCAGCCGCCCCTGGCCCCCATTCTCAGCGCCGACCATCCAGAGGCTGAGGGCCAGGCCCAGCCAGAGCTTAGTTGGAGGGGATGTGGTCAGTCACTTCTCACACTCACGTGAGGCCAGCTCCAGGCAACCTGCAGGGAATGCGGAGACAAGTGAAGGGCAGAAAGCATCAGCCAGAGTGTGCGCCTTGTCCAGAGGCAACCTGGGCACCAGTCCTGGCGGTGTTCCCTGTTGGTAGTCTCTGAGGACGGGGCACCAAGCATGGTGTCGCCCCTCTCGGTGCCAGGGTGACTTGGAATCCTGCAGTGCTCTTCTGGAGTTGATACAGAGGCCAGATAAACGAGGCGTCTGCCCAGGGGGCAGGCCCTCTGACCTGTGCCCTCATTTATCACAATAGCTCAGCGCTGCTGCAGCTCACCCAGCCTAGGGATTGGGGTGGGGGCGGGGGGCTTCCGCAGTGACGTTGACAAAGCACAGAAAGTTCATTTTTCATTGACAAAGAGCTCACAATTTTCTTTGGTTGGTGGCTGTAGACAGGTGACTGGCCCCACCAAGGGGTGGTCAAGAGTCTCAGGCCTTCAGAAAGGGCCCGGCAGCCCTCTGAGATCCTGGCGGGGCCTGGGCGGGTGAGCAGGGGTGTGGCAGCGTCAGGTCAGGGCGTGCCAAGCTGCCCAGAGCTCTGTGCCCTCCAGTCCCAGTCCTTGGGGTGCCCCAGCACCAGCCCGTGCAGGCCCTGTACCAATGGGGTCGGCCATCCAGGGGGTGTGCAGAGCTCTGAACTGGTATTGCCACGTGAAGAACATGGGAAACAGCTCCCCAGCTGGGCCACCCCCAGGAGAGATGGCCCATTTCTCAAGTCCCTTGCCCCCAGAATGCACCAGGACCCTTCCGGAGCTGACCTGTGCTGTCCCTGCAGGCTGACTCCAGCTCCCGCCCACTCCTCCTGGCCGGCTATGAGGATGGATCGGTGGCCCTGTGGGATGTCTCCGAGCGGAAGGTGTGCAGCCGCATCGCCTGCCACACAGAGCCCGTCATGGGCCTTGACTTTGACTCCCAGAAGGCCAGGGGCGTCTCAGGCTCCGCGGAGAAGGCGCTGGCTGTCTGGAGCCTGGATGAGCAGCAGGCCCTGCAGGTCAGTGCGCCAGACCCGAGGTGTCATTTATCCTACTCTGCACTAACAGTCTGATAGGCTGAAACAATATTTAGGCATGAAGAGGAGTTGTTGCAGATCGCTGGCTAATTAATCACTCTGAGGCGGGGTGCAGGCGGGCCTGTCTGCAGGGCTCACGCAGGAAGAAGGGGGCGTGGGCGTCGCTGGGCCGTTCACATGGTTTGGGTTTCTCTCAGACCTTGGGTTAATAGCAGTCACGTCTTGTCTATCTAGAGAAAAGGCATGTAGAGTCCGGGAGTAAGTACACAAGCCCATTTGCAAAAACTCAGAGGAATTTGGTCAGTAAGGAACTGATTAATCAAAAAACGAAAATAGCCCAATGTGGAGAAATCCACGGAGTCACGCCCGGGTAGCGGTCTGGAAGCAGGCCCCAGGGAGGCTGTTCCTCACGGGCAGTGGAGAAGGGATGCGGGGCCTCAGGGTGGAGCGGGACATTGCTGAACACCTCCGCACAATGTCCCATGTCCTCTTCCATCTAGCGTGCCTGCGGAGCAGCCGGGGGCCACGTCTGAGCCTGCGCCTGGTGCTCAGAACAGGTTGGCCCGGCCTGCCTGCTCAGCCCTGTCTGGGATGGGAGGGATGGAGCTCCGGAAAGGGGAGCCTCCTTCCCAGGCCTCACTCTGGACAGGGGCCGTAGACCATGGGGGCCGGGGTGCTGCTGGGGGTGTCCTGTGCCTCCCAGCTCCTGGAAGGTCTCCTGGGTGCACACTGGCTTCTAGGGGTGGGCAAGGAGCTCCCGTTAGCCGGGGAGTCTTGAAAGGCTGAGGCTTGACCACAGCTAGCAAGTAGAGGCTCCTTGGAAAGGCAGCTCTGTGACCCCAGGTCTGGTGGGGAGCAGGGCTCCAGGGGGCACCAGGAGAAGCAGCAGCGGCCCAGCTCCGGGCTTCACCTGGACTCTCATCACTGGTGCCCTGGAGGCCGGGCCCTGGCGGCTGCCTTCTCTGCAGGGCTGCGTGATCTAGGCTGCCCGCCATAGACAGGAGTCTGAAGAAGGTATCTCTCGGGGCTCCTCTCCAGGTGGGGAAACCTTGCCCAGCAGCCTACCAAGCCTGCCTCACACTTGCTCAGACCGACCCCCCCACAACCAGGGCAGATGGCTCTAGGTGGGCACCACTGGACCCCTGAGGTGCATGGGTGGGATGGAGGAGGGATGGGCCCCAGGGGAGAGTTGGGACACACTGCAGCACCCCACAGGTACCTCCATGCTCTGGCTGCAACCTGGGGGTGCCACACTGTCACCAGGTCATCCCAAGGAGAACAGAGGGAGGACAGCTGGGGCAGAAGTGCGTGCCTGGTGTGAAGGTGGGAGGACAGACACTGAGTCCAGGTGGAGTGAGACTGGGAGGTGCCCATCCAAGTTAGAGCTGAAGGGGCCGCTGGCGTCTCATCAAGAGCAGCCCTGCCGAAGACCCAGGGTTAGCATCAGAGCAGGCTGTGGGCAGCAGCAGGGTTGGGCTGTGGCCACCACCCATGGCTCTGCACGCTGGAACTGAGGGTCTGTCTCCAGCCCTGTGGGTCGAGGAGCAGCTGGTCAGAGCCCTGCAGGACAGGAGAAGGAGGAGGTCACGTGTTACGTTTGGGGACAGGGCACAAGTTCACACTTCTTTGGTATCACCCCCCCCCCAACTTTCCAACCATTCCTCCGTCCTCCCGTCATCCCAGGGAGCCCACGGAGACCCTGAAGCAGGATGTGGTCAGACAGGCCTCCCTGGGGCTGGACCCAGCACGGGGCGGGGCCGGGGGGGGCTGAGCTTCTCGTGCCTTCCTCCCAGAGAAGGGGGCCTGTGGACTTCCTGGGAGAGGCAGTGAAAGTCACAGTGATGGTCGTCACCTCCGGAAGCTGGAGCAGAGCCACGCTGGTGCTGGGTCCTCGGCAGCCGAGTCAGCCTAGCTGCGTGCAGAGCCTTCCCCGCCTCCTGTGGCAGCAGGGTGCTCCCTCACACCCCTCCCTCCTGCTCCTCAAGCCTCCCTGAGACTCACTCACTGCGGAGTCGAGTGCTCCACTCCTCTGTGCCGTGAACCTCTTCAGCCTGACTTCACAAATGGCTGAGGACCCAGGCGGCTTCCCGAGCACCCCAGGCTGCAGCACCCCAAGGTGCCTGGGAGTGGGCCTTCCTGCCGTCCCAGCTCAGATCGGCCTGGTCTCTCCTTGCTTATTCAAAAAACAGCTGCTGGAACTTAAGACAAATTTATGGGGCATGTTCCAGAGATGAACTTTTACTGTACCGATAAGTTGAAAAGTTAAAGCAGAGGGCATTCTTAATGAATTGGAAGGTTGTGGCAGAGGGGAACAATGGACGTGGCTGGTGTGCTGGCGGAGCCTGGGCCGAGGCCTCACACAGCAGGGCACATCCAAGCTGGGGAGTGCTCCGCCCGCTGAGCACGGCCACCTCACCCGGAGACAGCTGGGCACGAAGCTGCTTTGGCCCAGAGGCCCTGAGGACTTTCGGGCTGTGCAGCATCAGCCGCTGAGGAGGAAGCGTCTGGGGGCCTCCAGGCCCTTGGCATCTATAGGTGTCCTTGGCCCAGGGGCCCTCGGCGCACTATGCCCAGCCCTGCAGTGGGCATTGTGATGTGGCTACCCACCAGCCCGCAAGCCACGTGGGCACAGATGTGCCTCACCTTTCGGCCTGCTGCCGAAGTCTCTAATGAGCCCAAATCAATCTCTCCCAGGCGGGCGCTGGGCGTGGAGACGCAGATGAGGTTTCCCGCAGCAGAGCGTGGGTAATGGGAACCAGATGGCGGCCGCGCCGCGTGTGCATTCCTGGCACCTGAGGTCATGTGCTGTGAGAGCCACTGGTGGCCAGGGATCCTTTCCGGAGGGGCCTGGTCCAAGACAGGTTTGGCCAGGGGCTGAAGTGGTGGCCAGGAGCCCCCAGTTACCTGCGTCAGGACTTGTGGCCTTGAAGACACACGGTGACACCAGCTGCTCACCTGCCTTCCTGAGGTGGCCTTCCAGAGCGCCACCAGGAGTTTGGGCCTCAGCTGTCACGAGACACAGGTGGTGCACAGACCTGCTCCTTCCTCCCGTACTCGGGGCAGGGCCCGCAGCCTTGAAGCAGGGACTGATTTACGGCCAGCAATATTTTTAGGCCTTTAAATAATAATGAGGCCCCCCCCACCCCAGCCAGCCTGGACTGGGAAGCAGACTAACCACATGCACCCCCTCCCCGCCATCTTCACTGTGCCTGAGGCCGACCAGGTGTCCCCGCTGCATGGCACTGCCCCTTGTCTCCACAGCCCTTCCGGGGACTTCCCTCTAAAGTGTCAGCAGCATGGCACGTGGGGCAGGTTGGAGGGAGCCCACAGGACCCTGACCGAGCATGTTTCTCCTGATTTCATAACAAGAGGAGAGAGAACTGCGGGCACAACCCAGCCTATTGTCCTCATCTCAGGAACACGGTGGGATGGGGCTCTGGCCACACTCCCCATGAATACCCTGACAGGACTTCCTCCTCCTTGGGAACACGAGCCCCAGCACCGGGACTGGGCTCTTCCCGTGTAGGTCCCCGGGAAACTTCCAGCACCTCTTTTTGTACCCTAGGCCTCTGCCTCAATGCCAGCGCATCTCCAGGAGGAGCTGCCAGGTGGCAGGTGGAGTGAGTCTTGTAGCTGAGCCGAGGGCAGCACTGCACGTCTCAGCCCCTCCCAGGTGTGTCGCTGCCTTGGAGGTTTGCGAACACTGGCTGGCGAGGGGACAGAGCTCACAGGAGAGAAGAGGACGGTCAGCCTCTGGCGCTGGTTCCGACTGCCAGTGCTCCGGCCATGCGGGCAGGGAGGGGCCGGGAGGTGCACGCCTGCACAAGTGGGCACACGTGTGGAATTTGCCTTCTTGCCCATGCACGGTGCGTCTGCCCCGTGGCTCTGCGCCAGCAAGTGCCCACGGTGGCTGCCTGTGTGGAGCCGGAGTGCAGGGCATGCTGAGTGGAAGCAGGGGCCGGCGCGAGCATCCTGGACGTGCTGCCGGCCGGACAGGGAGACCTGTGAGTGCTGTCCGGGCTGGCAGACTCCCGTGTCGGGTTAGGTTCTGTCCCACTGCCGGCGGGGAGACTCTGGATTGAGAGACCGCGTCGGGCTATCAGACTCATGGCTTTTCTTCTCAAATCTGTCAATTTAGTGAGTTGCTGTGTTCAGTTTTTGATAACACTAAAACAGTCGTACAGTGCTAGAGTAACCTGCTCTGAGGGGCTTGGTTGGAGTTGTTCAGAGTCATTTGTCTGTCAGTAGACCAAGCTGTACCCACTCTTCTGCTGCCTCACACTGCTTATGGTGTCTGGGTGTCAAGGGCCCCAGAATCGGGGGGCAGGCATCCCCTCCTCTGCTGATCTCCAGACACATTCACGGGGGGGCCTGTTTCTCGGGCGGCTGTGGGCCGGTCCTTGCCTATACCCATGGGGGAGGGAAGGTCTGATTTTCTTCTTGGACTAATTTAGGTTTCCCGATTTTTTTTAAATAAGTTTCATTTTTCTAAGAATTTGTCCATAGGCATTAAACTCCTCAAGGTATTTTCATACTGACTTTTTAAAAGTTGTTTATAATGACGGTTTCCATTTCTGCTGTATGTGCAGGACTGTTCCTTGCGTGTCCCTGATCACCCCTGGCTCGGTCGATCTTTTTTTCCGTCTCAGCGTTTCTGCCCTGCGCTCCCCCCGCCTCCCGCCCCTGTGCTCCGGGCTCTGCTGACTTGAGAGGGGAGCGTGACGCATTCGTTCCCAGCCCTCCTTCCTCACAGCAGCTGAAGTCTGCGCCCCACATTGTAGGACGTCGCCCTCTTCATCACCGCGCACTCCGGGCGGACCGATCTTTATTTGTTCACTGACTGCTGAGCTGATTAGAGTGTTTTTATGTTTCCAAATGTTTGATTCCCTCCCTCCCCAGTTATTTTTTATTTTCTAATTTCTAACTTAATTCCATTGTGGTCGGAGGAGAAGGTCTGAATGATATCAGCTCTTTGAAATGTG